GCATCGAGTGATTAAAATATTTCGTCGGCTTTCAAACTTTTCAATCGAGCTCTCGTCGACGTCACCTTGTTTAGCACGTGTATCTTCGATCGAATTGTATCTACGCGAGTATCAATGCCACGACGGAATAGTCAGGATGCTGAATCGGTGAGCGAAGATAGAGGATGCAGGACCGGGTTGCGGACAGCGGTACATCATATATTTCAAGATATGTCGAGTCATTTATTATACGGAACGTTTTTGGTTTTAACAGTCGTTTGGCGAACTTACCGAGGATAACGAGGTACCCGAGTCGAAATGTAGGCCGACATTCATAGTCCGTCATCATTTGACAAGTAATTATAGCTTAATGAATATCTCCGGTTACTCGTCAACCTATATATCGGTGCTTGTTACATTATTTCACACCAGAAACATCGATTCAAACAGGCGAATAATAGTCCATGAATATGAATCTAGAATTAATTAGGTACTCAATCAGAGACCCTAAATAATTCACTATTATGTACACCGGTTTTAGAATCTAATGTAAATCTCGCAAATGCTGATATTTTACGTCTAATATTATTTATTGGGCCGGAAGCTCGATCTTGTTTATAACTACCAACCCTTTTTTCATTTCTCTTCCTTGTTATTGCACAAAATCCAAATTTAAATATATATTACACGCAAGATTATTGGACGCATAGCTGTTAGTTTTGCTTTCACAGCTTTTTTTATCCATTTTTTTAAAAACTTCAAATTCCATCGATATTTCCGACATCAAAAGAAAAAAAGAAAGAGATTATGAGAGCAAAGATGTGTTGCTTTTTTCCAATTAATTTTTATTACGTTATTTAATATTTGCTTACCTCTTTAATATGTTATATATTGAGCAATTGAGTAAGTTATATGACACATATATTGCCGATTGAAATTAAGAATAAAGATTAAATGCACATGCAATATTGAGGTAATCGGACATTAAATGATTTTTATAATAACCCTTCGAGCTTCTTCAGCACGATAAATAAACAGTTATTTGTATCATCAAAATATAAGACAATAGCTTGTATATTACATTTCGGGATTCTTTATTGGTGCTTCTAGTTTGAAAGAGAATTTGCAGGATTAATGTAGAATCAGAATTTCGCTCGAGAGCGGCGCTGTGGTAACTGTTCTTTTTCGGTTTGTTTCGCGTCCATTGATGGTCAATTTCGGGAAAAAGGACCATCGCGCTGAATGTGACACGCGAGTGACACGTGCGTGAACGACATCGCGGCTACATCGGGGCCAAACCGACAGCTGTTCCTCGTTCTCATCTCCTGTCTTCGTTCGGGATATTTCTGCTCTTCTCGATTTACCCACGTCCGCTATAGCATTCCCTATCGCCGATAAGGTCAGCCTGTTGTGATGTGCCTATAATGGCGTTGTCAAGTTTTATGTTTGGGAGCTGTCCGGAGAATTGACATAGATTTATGTAAAGTTTATTATGCGCATGAAAAATCACGTGGGTCGCGTATTCTCTCTCTCTCTCTCTCTCACTCACTCACTCTCGTTCGCGCGAGGTCGCGGTCGTGTGAGGTGTAAAACATCGTTATCGTTATACGTTTTGCAACTCGATATACTCTCGCGTTGTATGCGAATTATGATGGGTCGGTAATTTTGCACGCGTGTTATCTAATCCGAAAATTATCGCTAAGTATTATGGAAATACTTTTAACAAGAGTATACTGAAAACAAATTACATTCAATTCCGATGCCAACAAAATCCTTTTGTTATTTTAATCACAAAAATAGTCAAGGCTAGTATAGTCAACTATTTTTCTAACAAATGTTACTATAATGTCAGTGATAATAACCTTACGTGCATGTTGCTACTGCTATATTTGTGATTAAAATAACAAAACGATATTATCGGCGCCGGAAATAACTAGAATTTTCTCTCGGTATACCAAGTTATACAATTTCACAAGTTGTACAATTTCGTCGACACGTCCTTCTTTATTGGTAGCGTCTTCCGGGAGGCTTCTAGTTAACCGTAATTAGACGCGTCAGTCACGATTAACCGGCTCATTCGAACGAGGGCGTATTGGTGCGTTTCGTATTTTCGCGATTTCGAGACGACGAACATTTGTTGGCAAGCTGACGGAGTCCTCGAGACATTCTCGCGTCGCACGCTGAGTTCATTAGGCTACCTGGCCGGCGCTTTGTGCGATTCCATTTTCTGAGCCCGCGGGTATGCTCTCTTCGAGGACGTATGCTTTTATATCGGTACCGGCGCGCCGCATTTTCACAATGGCGCCTCGACGCGGCATTTAGAATGCGCAGTTGTCCGCATTTCGCAGCCGTTCGTGTCGCGCTCGCGGCTGTCGCACACCGACAATCGGGCGGTATTTACGAGGGAATTAATCTCGAGTTAACGATCATTCTTAATATGCGCGTGGGAACATTGAGAGCCGCCGAGTATTAGGCTACATAATAACTTGTAGGGACAATTTATCAGGCGTAGTCCCTTTACGTCGTACCGTCGCCCTTGTATTTCGAATTGATCGGAGCTTCCGTTATTCGTTCATTTTTCATTTTTACGTGTCCGCGCTGAAAGAAATGGAGAGGCGCGCGCCGCTCTGAAATATCGCTCATGCTAATGGTCGAATCCGGGAAAAATAAACATGTATCTTAAGAGTAATGACGCGCACGAAGGCGGGCGTGTAAAGAGGTAACGAGATATAAAACGGTCATTTAAATGTCATGAAGGCCCCAGGAGACGGGACCCGGCGAACGCCGGGTACATTTTTGTTCTACGGTGCTGCAACAGTGCCACGGTCGTTAGGAGGCGATCGTGCGTGCAAGATGACGCGGCTTCTTTCTCTTAATGCTCGTCGTATTCTTTTACGGTTATCACTGCGCCGCGCCTGACGATCGCTTCAACCGTCCACCGGTATCTTTCGCTTTAATGACTCCCTTAATCGTCGGATACCGTGCGATCTTCCCTCACTACGACGCCGTGATATCTTTATATTTTCACGTCGGAGTCAAGTTGTTCTTGGAGAGCAATGGAATCGGATGCTTATCGCCTTGCGCGCTCGCGAAAAAGAGCGTCTCGCGACTAAAACGACGTTACTCTCGGGGATCTAACGGATATATCGTGTGATCTCTTTGCAGCCGCTCCATTTCAGGTAGAACATTGACAAAGGCGTCAAGGGCGAGAGTCGCGAAGAGGAGAAAAAAATTGTGAAAGAGCGGTAAAATCGGCGTATTATTTGGCTTTTAGACTCTAAGATCTTGTTGAGCGTGTAAAATTAAGATTTATAGATGCAGACCAGCGATACTTCTCTGTCGGAATATACAGGGTGAGGAAAAGGTGTGGAAATCTTGAAAAGTCTCGGGAAATATAAGTTGTACAGGGAAGTGTTTCGGATAAAAGTTGTCGAGATCTAAAGAGATCTATTTACTGATCCTGTCAGTTTGACCTTGAGTGAAAGAATGTTATTACAGTGAAATTGTCACATCAAATTGCGAAGTTTACGAAACGAGTATTGCGTTGACAGGACAGCGTTCGCATTGAGAAACCAGTTTGGTTGCATTAATCGGCAAGCGGGCGATTAATCGCGATTCGGCTGAAAGTATCAAAATTTCGGTTCTTACAAGCAGAAATTATGTTTCAACCAAATCGCGTTTGATCGGCCGTTTTCCGATTGCAGCCAAACTGGTTTCTCAATACGGAGGTCGAAGGGGTTAACGCGATAATTAGCGCAAAGGCGCGTTCCACTCGAGCGAATTCGGACGCGGTCAGTCGATCCGGGAGGATCCGTTTGTTTCCGACTGATCTCGACACGGTTATTCCGCGCTTTTCGCGAAGCGCGATGGCCCCGAGCAGATGCCTGAAAATCGAGGAGCCAGCGATACGTACGATCGAACGATACGGATTATCGAAGGGACGGGAAAAAGCCGATAAAATCGAAATACATTGGCCATGTCGATCGCTCGGCTGTTCGGCTTTAAGACCTTGCAGGATAACCACTGGAGAAAACCTTCCGAGTTATACTCATTGCTTTGGAATCTTCGTGGTCAATTGGATATCTGGCGTATCGATTCTTACAGTCCGAGTGCTCCGAGCGGTCTTACGGCGTCGCGCCGCTACAGATATATGCCCATTCGGGAGCATGTAAATTGGAGTTTTGTTGGGCATTTATGAGATTGGTTTTTCGCAAGCTTACGAAGACGGACGCGCGACAGGCACGAGAACAATGTAGGACCGCCGAGAGCGGTTGCAGGGATACAAGCGCTTTTACGCCATCTTCACATTTCTCATTATTACGTCTGTACTTCGATCCGCGATATGGTTCATCCAAGAGATAAAATTGAAATATACTCCCTAAGGTGCAATAGGTGTATCGTCACTGAGAGGCGGCCAATAGTTATTGGTGGTCGTAGTTGTGAGTATACCATTGCAAATGGGTCAAGTTTCGCTGGAGTGTCTGTTGGTGGTCTATAATTTTACCTGGAATATCGTTATGTTTAATTAACTTTTATTTGTGATATGCTTATGCTGATGGGATTTGGACTTGGGGTTTCTGGCTCTTGAATCTATTACCTTGCGAGCACCGAATGCGACAAATGATTGGCTGCGTATACGTACATGTATGCGTATTTCTGCTGCGGGACAGCGGTTTGCAATGAATATGTCACCGGTCCAGAATCGCTGAAGTATGGGGCAGGGGAGTTAAACGTAAGTGTATCTACTTAAAGTCGGTTAATATTCACTGATCATCAGTGCGATATTGTCTTACCGATTCAATCAGTGATATTTTTATTGATTTCACTTGAGAGAATATTTTCAATAACGTAGTAACGTGAAATCGCACTGCACGCTATTGTTTTTCACTCATCCTCGAGCGTGTAACGGCCACTTTCTTGCCGGCACGCCTGTGAAACGATAGATCGACTTTGTTACCGCCGAGAGAATTATTCGGATGCGAGTAACTGAAAGACACGAAGAGCTTGCCGCGCTAGGTCACCATGGATCGTTACGTCGGAAACGAAGGAGAGCACTCGCGGAAAACACTCTTGTTCTTCTCGTAGTACCCGTGGTTCGCGCGCGAACGAGGAAAGCATGAGAAATTCATCGTCGTGTACGCGCCGCCAGTCGATGCCGGGTAGCGCGCCAGTAACAGACGCGCAGGCCGACCTTACCCATTACCCGCAGCGACCTTTAATTTCAACCGGTAAGTTCGCCGTGCCCCGAAGTGGTTGACAAATAAAGCTGTAGAAGTGCTCGCTGGAGTGCTGCACGAAAGCCAAGGCTGGATATCCACCACCTATTCTATGGGTGTCGAGAACCCTTGGTTCTAGCAAGAGGGAAAATTCGCAAGGCAGAGAGAGAGAGAGAGAGAGAGAGAACGAGACATCGAAATATCGAGATAGAGTAAGAGAGAGAGAGAGGAAGAAATAGAGAGACGGAGGAAAGCGAAGGGAGAAGCGGCGAGAGGAGTCTAGGATTTTGGCGACACTCCAATCTCTGTATAAATACCACCGGGAGTCACCACGTGCCTCCCCCCGCCGCCTCTCTCCCGCCTCCCCATCTTTCTGGCGATACAAACTTTATTATTTTTTCCCCTGTCCACTCCACGCTTTTTATCATTCTTCGCGCGAACCGGCAGGCGCGAGACCGTCCCTGTCGTATGTCACAACTCGTAATGAGGTTTAGCGTGCGCTTTCGCTGCCTCCGCGCGTCACACGACTCTTATGCATACTCGCATTGCTACTCCGCTTGTTTTTCTTTTGTTTTTTGTTTTTTTTTTTTTTTCGTTTCACGAGAGTACGGACGGGCGAAAGTTTTCGTCATTGTTCGCCCACGTTGCAGTCTCGTGTTCGCGCGAGACTTACGATCGGAATTATTTTATTGACGAAATTATTTCGCGCGTTCGCGTACATCCTTCGAATAGGGGAGGCCAGGGACAAAAGTAACATTTTGCTTATTCGAGCCGATATCTTCCATTACTTTTATTATTATTTTAGAATGCCAAATGTACGAAAGAGGAAAACGAACTTAGCGACGACCGAAAAATATGGGTTGACGGCGGAAGAATTTCATAGAAGAAAAGCTTCTTTGATGCGACTAAATTTTACGACTTGTGACATCCCTGTAAGCAAGAAACATTAAATCAGTCTTTTGAAATATTATTTTATCAATATTATTTTTAATGTTTGGGTAGAATATTGTTAACAATGACGTTGTATACAACATTAAGCATTACATATTTGGAAACGTTACATATTATAAAATATTATTATAATAACGTCATGTTAATGATTTCTTGCTTACTTGAATGTTTCTTTGTGCCAATATAAAAAGAACATGTTTTGCTATATTGATTATATATTTGTTTTATTTTTTTTGCCATGTTACAATCAACCCTGAGCCCTGTTATAATCGATTTTAGGGATTGGGGCAATCGTAATAAGTCTCGACCTTCATAAAATGAAATTTTTCTACTTAATTATAAAATGTGGTTAGATTTTATCCATCTTTTAATATAATCAATGAATGTGTTTATCTTATGAAAGAGAAAAAAGTTAATATACAAACAAGCAAATGGAAGATATCGATTTTATCAAAAAATAATGTATCTAAATGAATGGAAATCAACACTAATAACGATGATTATTTTCGGGATGAAAATAACAGACTGCTACTTTCATTCCACGTTACTTTCGCCCCTGCCAAGGCATCGATTAGGATCGCTCGCCGCGTCTGTCGCGTTGAATATTTTCGTGAGATTAGCTTCTCCGTTAATTCTCTTCTGACTGAATTAATATGATAGAATTCGCGCGATGCGATTTTTATCACTATCCATCTCTCTATTCATCCGTCTATTCATACTGAAAAAAAGATTAACAATTACCAAGTTCTTTTTTCAGTACATGTATTTTTCTCTCTCCGATATCGCACAATCGCCACTATTATTAACTATATCACGCATACCGGCCAGAAATTAATGACTTATCGCATCTACGCGCGACAGCTGAGCCTCGTAAATTTTGCGTCAATTTTGTATAGTCGCGGATTTCTTCGCGATTTATTACTGGATTAATTTTAAAATATAGCACGGCGTTCTAGAATAACGTGTATCCGTTGTCAAAGGTTGTACACCAACGTGCCCGAGAACGAAGACGGATGGCTATAAAAGCTATTTCACAATTGTTAATTCGTGTTTACACAAGTGACCAGCGGACAGTCCATTTCACGTCCCATAGATGATAATGTACGGCTAATTTACAGTCTAAGAATGCGAAGCCAATCCTTGCGTCATGCTGCTAACAATATCATCCCGAAAGCCGCGCGGCGAATATTATCGTGCGCGCGCGCGCGTTTGTTATTTCACGAAGTAGTAGAAGACGCGCGCGCTATGCATGTAATTCGCGTGTGGAAACATCAAGCTGCACCTGATGACGTTCCAACGCGGATGAAAATCCCGTCGTAGAGAATTCTCTAAAGTGCAATCAGTGTATTATCATTGAGAAGCAGTTTATCGTCACTAATGATCACAGTTATAAGTATAGCGCTGCAAATCAATAAAATTTCACTGCAAAAGTCTGTCAATAGTAGCAGCTGTTTTCATCGGAGAAGTCTAACTGCGGAAACTATGAGAAAAGATATTATTTATTATCTTTTCTCTATTATCTTAATCCCACTTTTAAAGTATTGTCAACGCTTCTGCCTGAAATATTCTTAATTATGTTTAATCGACTTAATTTATATCGTATTCGAATGGAAAGCACGCTCATCCTGGTACCCGAGTTCGAAACCTCCAGCTCTTAAGTCTGCTACCATACTGTGCCAACTTCGCCAAATACGACATACATATGGTTGATTGCATATACGATATGTAGGGAACTTGTAAGCCTATTCTGTAACTTTTAATGACAGTTTCGTTATCGTTACATCGTCGTTGCGCAGATATAGTATATAATAGAAAAGTTGCGCAATGACAACCTAGACTAGTGACATTCTTAAAATCGTTGAAAAACTACAGAATAGGTAACTGCTTACTAGTAGCTACTGGGGACACTGATTTCTCCTATTGATTTTGTTGAATATCTTAATAAATGAAAGGAAAATTAAAACGTTTTTAATTAATACATAAGATATATTTACATCCTAAGACAATAATACATTAAGAATGAACGTTGCTGCTAACATGAAAAAAAAATGAAATCTCTCCATTCCGAAATAATGGCTAGGGATCAAGTCTACCAAAGTATCAAGTGTCTCCAATTACATGTTTCTGCTGTAGGTCACGTAACAGCGATTTGCAGTGAATCTTTCATTGATCAAAATCAGTGAAGTACTAGACAAAAGAGCTAAGTGAAAAGAGTTTCTCCTAAACATTAGTGAGTACTCACTGATTACCAGTAGATTATCAGTAGAATACTATTTCATTGATTCAATTTAAGAAAACATGATTCTTCCTCGTATCGCGGAAAAATCCACCGGTGCTATGTATTTCGTTCCGCTGTTTGTTCCGGTCTGCGTGCCCTGGCATTTGACCTTCGCGCGAAATCTCTCCGGGAGTCGCCTCGAAGATCGGTCGAAAAATTGTCCAAATCCGGAATCGGTCGGAGTTGGGCAGTTACGTTCGCGAGAGATACTCGGTGCGCGGGGGAAGAGCCACTCTCGTGTAACATCTTCGATATTCGCTTATCCTCGAAGGGGCCTCGAAGGACCGTGGGACTCCTTGCGAGGAAGAGGAGGAGAGAGAAAGAGGGGGAGAGAGCGGTTGAATGGCGCCGGGTGGAGCGTATAAAGACGTCGCGAAAGCAAGTACGCTCGGATCCACCTGGGAAATTTAAGAGAACATTCTATCGCGTAGTTATCACGAGGATACGTGTCGCCCGAGCGCGTCGTCGGCGACGTTACCGAGCTCTTTTCCTGACCCCGTTCGGCTTCCGCGAAGGCCGGAAGCTCGGCCATCGTTTCTAGAATTTATGGCGTTCAACGGCGCGCGGCCACTTACTACTTACCGCTCGCTATCTGGCCGTGGGATAAAAGCGAGAACGCTTTTTCACGGCGGCGGGAAGAGGTTCCGCTATGCACTTCAGGCGTACGAAACATCGAGTTCGTGTCTCGACGAAATGTGGAAATAAATTATTATAGAAAGAGTGAGAGAGAGGGAGAGAGAGAGAGAGAGAGAGACAAAGGGACAGACAAAGAGAGAGAGAGAGAGAGGGAATCTCTCTTTTATTCCGGTGAAATATCTCGCGAGGATAGCCTTCGATATATCAGATTCGATATATTATATCTAACGCAAAAATGTGCGAAATATATTCCGCGAAGACGCGAACGAGTCGTCGCGAAAATGAAATTGCGTTAGATAATTGACTCTTAATTCGTTACGTCCCCCGTGAAATTACGAATATACTCCGTCGTTTAAAGAGTTAACTAGATACAATCGCTAGTGTTTCTCTGTAAAAAGAACCCTCTCTCTCTTTCTCCCTCTCTCTCTCTCTCTATCTTTCTTTCTTAGCGGGGCCACTTGCTTTAATTAGCCACGCTGCCACGTTCGAGAACGGTGCGGCAAAGGGAGAGACCGTAAAGTAGAACGCAAATTATTTCTAGCACATTTTCGAGTTCCCTCTGAAGAGAGCGAGAGAGAGAACGATTTTTCCTCGCGTCGTCGATAGGATCGCGTAGATGCGGCGCGACGATACGCTCCCTCCCCACATTGACGCATCGCGCAAACTCTCGCGGTATTTCGCGTGCACCCGCGTATAAATATTGCTGCCACGTTGCCGCCACGGAGAACGTGCGCCCGCTCACTCGTTCGCGAACGTCGTCGAATTATAGGTTGAACAGGTGCAGGGGCCACTTCGTCGTCGTTTCGACGAATGACGCGTTGCCGCGCGACGTGTAGCCGCTTGAAAGCTCCGTCGTAGCTTCGTCGGCGACGTCGACGTTTACGATCGACGGTCGCGCAGTGTGTTTCCCGTGAAACGATACAGAGACCAGGGGGATACGTGCCGGGCTTTCGCGAAATATCGACCGGCATTTTCTCGAAGAAAACCACTTGCTCCCGCTCCCAACTAGATCCCGTCGGGGAGATTTTGCTAAAATTAGCCGGTAGACTATGGAGTCGCGCTGGCACGATTCCTCACTTTCGAGAGTTGTCGCGATTCTCAGATAGACTTCGCTTTAATAAGGAAGAGAAACGTGGAAGAGGTAACGGAAAGAGGGGAGGACAGTCGGATGTTGGCGTGTGCAAAGTGAGAATGAAATGTTTTGCAAACGGACTGTCTCCTCTTAAGTCGAATCAGTGAAAATGTCACTGACTAAAATAATATTGTGTTGATAATCAATGAGTATTCATTCAGTCTGAGTTGAGATTTTAGTTCTACATTAAGTCTAGTTGGTTTTATAATTATATGTATATTATATTTGTCGTAGCAAACTCAAGAGCTAGAAATTCCGAGTTTCATCATGATAAGCGTGTTTTTCAAATACGATATAAATTAAATCAATTAAACATAATTAAGAATATCTCAGATAGAATTACTGACAACCCCTTAAACATATGATTAAGATGATTAAAAAGAAGTAATAAATGACTTTTTCACTGCTTTTCAGCAGTTAGATTTTTCCGATGGAAACAGTCGCCGCTATTTTAACAGACTTCTGCAGCGAAATTATATTGATTTGCAATGCTATACTTATAACAATGACTACCAATGACTATTGACTGCTTCTCAGTGGTAATACACTAACTGCACTTTAAAAAATATGGGCAGAATTGACAAGACGGTGGGGATCGCAGCAATTTAATCTTGAAGTAAAAAGAATCCCGCATATCGGTCCGGAAATGCGATACGATGTTATTCCCTCCGCTGATTTTTTATTTCGAGATTAAAATTTCTTCAAATATCAATTTCGTAATTAAGACCGTCCTGATTATCGTATCTTTCGTTTTTTCACGTTGACTTCGCCGGTGTATGTATGTATGATATCGAAAAAAAAATGGAAAGTAGGACATTACAGAATGCGCATGATGAAATATTTGATATTGAGCGGCGCTATTTAATTAATATAAATGGAAACGAAGTATTTAATATCAAACAACAAATTTTTTTCCCGTGTAATCGTCGACCGTGTATAAATTAATTTGATTGCCGTACGACTAGCCGAGGAGGGAATTGCGAATCCAAATATCCGGCAATTATTAGCGGAATTTTGTAATAAAGCGCGCGGAACGCAGAAAATTTCGTTATTTAATTACACCGTTCCGTCGTGCTCCAGGAACGAATTTAAGAACTTTGCAGGGCAGTTTTATGCGGAAATTACTATCAGACATTCCACAGTTTATATTGCGTAACTGCCGCTTTGAAGCAATTCCGTATTAATACGCCGTTGAGTTTCTTTTTTTCCCCTTTCCGCTTGTCGTCCTACTAGAGACTCGGTTGTTTAATCAGTCTGCAAGCCAATCATCATTAGGCGGACGTTATAATTTCCTGTTTGCCCTACTCTCTGCTCCACCCTCCCTCTTTCTTTCTCCCTCGCTCAGTGTGTGCGTGTGTGTGCGGATATCGCAGATTAATTTGCTACTTTCAATTATAGTTTTTACACCCGGACTTACCGTCGAGCCAGATTAAACGCAAATAATCACCGGTGGTAATTGGTAGACACGGTAAACGCTACGTAATTAATCGCGTGCCAAAAACGTGTTATCGATTCGCGTTAAAAGTTAAATTGAACGTCGGGGGTAGTAGCGCGGTGGCGGTATACATATCTCCCCCGCGGCCCTCCCCCCGCGTCTCGCCAACGCGAAGCGAACCGACAAACCGCTCTTGTTACGTGTGACTGCAATTTCTTAGTGCCTCCGACCGCGCGTGTTCCGCGGATCGGTGAGCAACTACCGCCAACAACGCTACACCGTTCGCGCATTAGGACAACCGAGGCAGGCCGGAAGAAATGCAGCATTTCAGCTAGACACGTCGGCGGTCGCACCCTCGCGCGCAATTTGCCAAGAAGTTCGCCGCGCTCCGATGTACGAAGGAAGCGTGAGGAGGAGGAGGAGGGCGCTGAAGGAGATAGCAACACCTGTGAAATGCAGCGCGTCGCATGCTCCAGCCCACGAATCGTTTGCGATGAAAAAAACGATGTTGCCGGGAAAATGTCCTTTCGTTTCATTCATTTCGACGTTAATTCCGATCAAAAATTTCACAGAGTACACGTTTCACGGAACCTCATCTTTAATTCTCGCGAGGAAGGACAAAAATTTTCTCTGGATTTACCATGCGTGTTTGTTTGACTCGGGTTTATTTAATTAAACAACATAATTTAATATCGAGTAGCATTTTATTTAAGCAAAAATGTTAGTCCACTAGAGTAAATCATGTTGTTTGATAGAAAAAACGGTATTATTTAGAAGAAAGATTTCGTTTTCAATCGAAATGATTTCATTACATATTAAATATTGCTTTATTGGAACGAAGTTCTTTAATACTTTCTAACTTAGCGTGGCTTTTTTCAAATAATTTTTTACTTGTGACAATTCTTATAATATTTGAATACAAATATAAAAGAAATGCGTTATTTGAGTTATTCTTATAATATTTGAATACAAATATAAAAGAAATGCGTTTAAAGAGAAAGCGAGGAAAAGACATATTTGTTGTTTGAGAAACCAAACAATCTTGTTTATTGAATCAAACATTCGCTCGTTTGCTCTACTCCAAAAGACAAATTTGTTTCAGTTAAAGAAATAGTATTAAATCCAAAGAAATCTTTTCCTCTGTGTAGGAATCATTCTTAGTTAGACATTTATTTATTACATACTATCATAATACTTTTGTAAAATATATTTCGGCTTATTATTACATACGACTTTTTGTACCTTTCCTTTGTTTTAATCAAGCAAAATGTATATTCATATATTTGCGCCGTTCATGACCTTCACTTTTCTGTTCACATCCCGCTGCTCCGCCTTTCCTTGCGAAGGCTAAAATTAAACATATTAACCTTTAATGCGTGCAGACCGGGAGAAAGAGAAAGAGAGAAAGAGGAAGAGAGGGAGACAGAGTGCTCCGGCGATAGTAGCGGATTTATTCACAAGTGGCCTCTCTCAGAGCCCTCGCGAAGGGTCCGCGCGTGTTCATGTCGTATACAGCGCATAACTCTGGCGACTTTTTTCGCGTCTCATAAAGACGTTCTCACGTGCGGCGTGTCGGGCATTAACGCGACGACCATGCGATTACGCAGTGCTTAGGAGAGCTACCAAGCTCTGTGCCGTTGCACGCGCTCGCATGTACGCATAATAACGGTCGTTAAGGAAACACTGGAGCGGTGGCGGCGGGCAGGGGAACGGGCGGGGGGTCGCTTTAAAAGAACCTGAAGAAAAAGCGCGACCATGATCGATGACTTCTGTGCATGCGTTATTAGCATGACAATGAGTATCATCGTGACGAGAGAATGCTTCTCTCTTCCTCTCTGTTCTCTCTCTCTCTCTCTCTCTCTCTCTGTTTCACCGCTCGTCTTCGTCCGTCGTGATTCATCGTCCCGTTGTTCCGTGTGCGCGCGTGCTCTTAGCGCGGCTAACAGTAGTACGTCTCCGCCGTAAGTAATGCCCGCTTTTCCGGGGATCGTTTACCCGCGGGATCCTCTCGTTTCGCGGACTGGAATCCGAGGAGGAGAGAATTAATTCTCGGTGCGCGGAAGTTGGCGGCGGCGGCGAGCGCTAGGCTTCCCTTCGTTAACGGACGGTCGCTATATCACGAAATTGCGCCGGGAGAGATTGGTAAAAACAACGGCATACTAACGACCAGCGTCCTCCTCGGCGGAGTAACGCCTCGGTCGGGGCTCGAATGCGGTGCTCGCCTTCGCGTACGTGCGAGCGAACGAGCGGGCGAAAGAGCGAGCGGACTGAGGGTACAATCGTGGAGGGCTTTCTTTTTTTTCAGTTGTTTTGCGAAGTATATTCGTTCCCGCGGCGTACACTCGAGGGTGTAATTTAAATTTCTGACGATACACGAAGCACGAATTTTGCGGAGCTCGGCCGAACATCGAGATTAGTACTTAATCCGGGAAGTATTTCGAAGCTAACTTTCACAGCCCCGGGAGAGCTGAGTTATTGAAACAAGTAAATAGTGTAATGGCGTGTTTGTAAATCTTCTCTCTCTCTCTCTCTCTTTCTTTCACGAGCATGATAGATTCCTGTGAGATTTTTTCGGTATCGCCGAGAATATAATTAACGATCCGCGTTTCGATGATTTACAATCGCGAACGTCCCGATCAGTTTTTTGAGCGCGGAGCCGGGGAAAAGATATTTTCCGCAGTAACGAGTTTCACTTCGAAACATATTTTCCCGTTTCCCTGTACGTGCGATAAGTTAGCAGTAAAAGCTACAGATTTATAAATGCGACATTTCGCGCAAGGGTTCGAAAGTTCGACTCTGGAAATCTCGCTCCGGAAGCCCGCCGCGTCCTCGTTACGCAACTGGCGGACTCCGGCTGACTAGTTCGTAACTTTTCTACTGAACGACTTCGCTCTACTTGTCGGCTGCTTTTTACACACGCCGCGTACCGGATGTGCGTACGCGCGCGAATTTCAGCGATCGTTTGATACGTGTAACAAGGTTGCCATTAGTATGGTTGGAGCTTATTCTGGTATCCGCGACTATTAAAACGCGCTGGATTCGTATAGAGAATTTCTTAGAATCTAATTGAGATCCAAACCTATTTCCTAAAGTAATTATGGATTCTAATTGGGAAATATATATAGTAAATACTTTTGTGCTAAATTTAACATGTATCACATGCCTCAAACAGTCGACACAAATTTTTGTGTGTTAATTTAACACAAGAATGAATATGTTAAAAAATAATATAAATATTGTATCAAAAATTAACACAGAATTAATATTCATAATCTGTTAATAGACACTGAAATATAAAATATGTTATTTTAACATCTACAAGTGTCTCTTATAATAAGTACTCTGCTTCATTGTTAGGTATAGTGTAGTATTAGCTAGGTAGATACCAAAACAGCCAGTCGCGCCTCTATTACAAATTACCAAACACGCGGAAACGCTCCGGGTACAGTTTGATACACTTTGGTTGTTCCATAAATCACGCCAAAAATCGCATTTTAACGGGACTCTGAGATACCACCCGCGATTTTATCCACTATTTACGATGTATGTTATCGCGAGGATGAGGAAGAAAAAATGTCGCGGCGGTTTTTCGCGAATTCTTGGCAGGCGAGCGGCGCATTAAAAATAAAGCGAAGCGGCGCCGAAAGCGACAGCTGTATCGACGGAATTCACGATGCCTCCGCGCAACGACCTCAAAAACTTTTAGCATCGCCGATCCGAGAATAGTTCGCGAGAACAAATCGCGCACCTCGTCGTGGTGGGATATTTCGGTGTTGGTGAGACGCACGCGAGCGCAAGCTTTCTGATCCGCGCGCGCGGACACGGACGCTCGCTCTCGTAATTGGATAATAAATCATTCGACATTCGATCGTCGTGTCTTATCTGCGTAGGCGGCGCGCCGCTAATTATGGCCGCGGTCGAAAGTGGATTTCTCGTTCTTACGCCTCGCGACACGTCGATAATCGTTTTCCGAATCGATCAATCACGCTCTGGCCCGGGAAGCCTCGTCGTCGAAGGAACCCGATAGCTGGCAGTGCTCTTTTACGGCGTTCAACGTTAATCAACGTCCGAATCGTCCTAGTGTTTGACGTCACTTCGTCATCGTATCGTCGTGTTCTTTTTCCGCTCCCCCCTCTCTCTCTCTCGTATTTCCTTTCCACCGTATCGAACGTGCGTCATACATATTTATACTGCAATTCTAAGCAAATATATGAATAAATCGTTCAATCGTCAAGTAGATTACGAAGCAATCGTAATTTGAGTTACAGTTTTATGTAAACCGCAATTCTGTACCAGCATCTATACCGCTCATCATTACATGTCTATAGTTATGATTATTGACTAAGAGTAGGGTCCATCAGATGCTGTAAAATACTTCCATGCGCCGTATAGATCAATAAGAATCTATCTTTAAGCGCTCTAACGGATTTCATGTGGGTCTTCATCAAGCGGAATAACCTAATGAGCTGTCATTTGAGAGTTGCGAGTTAAAAAAAGAAGTTGTAAGGTTAAACAATATTTTATTTGAAATGCAATATATACACACATTCTGGTTTCTACAAAGTAGGTTATCAGTAATATTAAAGCTATTATATATATGTTTTCTATATTGCCTATTGTATTCTTCTTCATTTAAACATCCAATATATATTTATGCTTCGATTTATTATGTATAATAACAACACTGAAAATGTTGGTAAAATTTACAAACAGTAATTTTAGCTGACAGCTTCTAGCTAGCCGTAAGATTTACGAAAAATCGTAGATATTTACGGGTGAACGTACGATACGATACACGTATTGAATTACAGATATGTTCATACGGAAAAAAATTTGTCTTAAATCAAGAATAGATATTTTCATATATAAGCAAAAATATTATAATTTTCTTAGAAAATTTTTTGTCTCGAGTTCAAGTAATATTTGCATCAATATAAATTCAACCACGTTAAAAGTAAAAGTCTTCTATAGAAGATAAGAAAATTATATAAGAATATTATAAGAAAATTATGATATATTCTTGCTTATATATGAGAATATCTATTCTTGATTTAAGACTAATCTTTTTCCGTGCATAAATTCTCACGAGTCTTATGAGAACAAGTTACGAATCTGTTTAGAATTGCACCATTATTAGCTTCTAGACTCGCTTACTGCGTAAATATCGAACAGCAAATGCGAAGCGTTGCAATCACTTCGCGCTCGAGATCGCGATCGAAGCGTCTCGCAGATTCGACGTACAGCTCGGACGAGCTTGGTAAAACGAGAATTAATAGCGGAAGTGCGAAGAAACGCGGGATGAAAATTCATATTGAAAATTGATAAGGGAATTATCTCGTGAATTTCTCCTTGGAATTTTTCCCTCTACGATATGTGTTCTTGACTGTCTCCGGACTCGCGGATTATTCGTACCTCCATTTTTCGCGAATATGTGAGAGCCCGAAAGCGACTCTCATCGCTTTTTCTCTCTTATTGCTCCCCTTTCGTCGGACTCTCGCATTCTCCTCGCTCTTAGCGGGACGGCCGGGATGCGCCTCTTTTCTTCTCGAAGAGGAAGACCTCTTTCACGTTCCGTGCTTCGGCCAAGCCGCGCTGACGCTGCTCTCTGGCCGCTGCTGCATCGTCATGAATCATAACTTTAAATTAAAATCCGGCAGAACGTCTGTGACGAATGACGCGGGGCTGCTTAATTATGCGCTAAAGAGCGCCCGTGACGTCCGCGACGGGGCGACGGCCGGGGGAACGGGACCCTG